TTTTAGTTTAATTAACATGGAAAATTGCGTAAACATGTGTTTTTGAGAAGATAATGTATGAGAATATTTTTAATTTTATTTTTCAAAGGTGTAGCAGCAGATTTAAACATCATTGCAAGATGATATAAATTTTTTTGGAGTTAAAAATAGGGAGGGGGTCAGGATTTTATGACGTTTTTTTCCAGGGGGTATAGGAAAAAAAGACAACCGGTGACAAAGGGGGGAGAGGGTCAAAAATTGGCTAAAAAATAGTGACGTCCTTTATGGATGGTCCCAAACATTTTTATGCAAGCTAAAACCATTTAAAAAAAAAAAGTTCTAGTAATGTTTTGTACATTAGTTATCTAATCTTATCCGGTACACTACTTATCTAAGCTTATCTAATATGATAAATAAGTTTTATAATAATATATTATTTTCAATGTACATTAGATAAATAGTATATTATTACACTAGTTATCTAATGTACATCAAAACTAAAATATTTGTTGTAAACCAAATTAACATTAAAAATCAAACTGGTTCACTTGACATACTTGCTATACTATTGTAAGTTATGCAAAGTAAGCAAAGCTATAATAAATTGCTAGAATAAGTATATGTATAAATAATATATAATTAAATATATAAATAATAAATATATGATTTTAAAATGCGTTATAATATGATAATATCCAGAGACGTAAAGACAGTATAGGCCAAGACTAATACCAAGACATTTTGATTTAGTACCAAGACTAAAAACAAGACAGTTAAATGAGTCTCGAGATCTCTTGGGACAAAGATTTAAGTCTTGAGACCAACATCTTTAGTAATATCATATTATGATGCATTATAAAATGCATACATTTATCATATTCTAACTATTGCAAATATGTCTAGTTGTTCATGTCTATATGTTTAGTTTGAATTATATTAAATGTGATGCATTATAAAAAACATATAGTTTATAGTCTTATTAAATATAGAAAAAATATGTAGAAAAGTTAAATATATAAAAAAAGAATGCAGAAAATATTTTTTGCTTAAGTTAAAAATGCTTGTAACTATATATTTATATTTATGTTATCAAAATATATTTATATTATCAAAATATATTTTTATTATCAAAATATATTTGTATTCAAAATATAGTTGTATTTTGAAATCAGTGTTAAACCTCTACGAATTACGACGGCATCTTCAAAAGTGTCATTCGTAAAACCCATGGTGCAACGTGAGCTATGAAAAAAAAAACCATGGTTAACTCATAAAATTCCATGGTTTCCCATGGAATACTCATGGAATATTTCCGTAAGGGTACTCCTTTTTACTTTCATAAAATTTAAAATAATAATTTTTTCTTATAAAAAAGATGAAGGACCATGTATTTTCTTCGCTAACCGTTTCCGATTTATTTTTAATATCTATTTTATGAACTGATTTATTATAACTGAGTGATTACGTAAATTGCATGTTGATGAACCTTCGCAACTCAACATTTAACTACAATATTTTTCTGACTTTTTGTAGCTATTCCAAACTTCTGACTCAACTTTTTCATTATCTGAAAATGAAAATGAAATTATTGAATAAATATTTTTGAAAAAGATTATTGGTAGAATCATATACCCTGCCTCATACCTTTTTTAGTTGTGACTTAAAATTATACTACCACGTTGATATGAGCTTATTACCATAGCATAAACAAAATACTTACTAATACAAAATACAAATAAATCAAGGGAAACTAATTATATATAAAGTATAGTATAAAACCAACTTGAATTTTAGTAACTAATTCCAAAAATCTAGTTTGCAAAATAAAAAAAATTGGTATAGAAAACTCATGTGAATAAATACTTCAATATTACATATAAATAGTTATAAATATTATAATAGTATTATATATACTATTAATACATAAACGTATTATATTATTACATTTTTAAATTCATTAACATGATATAATCTTACATATAAATACATTTTATAAATAGGGTAGGGCGGGCTAGTTGGGCAATTTTTACTAAATCTAAAAGATCTCTTGAACGTTACATTGGATTAACATAATTTATTCACTATTAATGCTAAAAAATGGTTGAGACAAAAAAAACTTTTTTTGATTTGTTTTATTATTATATTTGTTAATATTATGATAAAATAGTAACTAAACACTTTATGTTAGTCTTCAATTTCCATTTTGCAGTTAATATAAATATAATTTTGACCAGAATGTGAATTTTGAATGAGACCATTGATTGTAACCTTGTCACTGGATCCAATTTTCTTTTGGTAGACTTTCAGAATAAGTTTCCCAACATACAAGACAAGCATAATCGTGTTCTGCACTTGTCTTTAATTTTTTTGTCATCTTAGTTTTTTTGTTTGATTGTTTTTTAACTTTTTTTAATATACTAAGCAGCAGAGTCTTCTTATTACCATGATCTGCAAAAGACTGACTGGCAGAACTTTTTTTTGGTTTCTTTAAAATTTCTTTCTTCTCATTTTTTTTTGTTTGTTTGTTTCTCAACTTTTTTAAATATACTATGTAACTGAGTCTCTTTATTACCACACTCTTTATTAATATTTGAAAGTAATTTTTTTCTGGAGTATCTGTTATAATAGCAGCTTTCCTTTTTCTTCGTCTTGACAAATGTTTTTTTTTTTGGTGCTGCTTTTGGGTAAGGTCACACAGCCTCTGGAGAAAATGCTTTAGGAGTTTCAGAAATAAGTAATGTTGTCTTTAATAATACTACTTTTGACAGATTGACCTGAAGATGATGTTAAACATACTTCAGAATATGCTAAATGTGATTGCTCAGAAACAAGATTTACTGGTTCTATACGATCTGTGATAAATGATAGTAAAAAATCATCAGCAAAAATGTTTGCATTGTACGGGTATACCCCAGTTTTTTGAAAACCCTTTGTAATTTTAGTACATGTTATACCTAATTGCAATGAATCAGATACAATTTTTGGTATATCATAAATTGTTATGGCTTTTCCAGGATTGTTTCTCAGCCATGCATCTTGTGCAACTGATAGGTACTTTTTAAAAGGTCCAAACACTGATACATCTAGTGGCTGCAGCTTATGGCTGCAGTGTGGTAGGTAAGACAACATAACTATTCCATTCTCCTTTGTTAAGTTTAGTGTTTCAAAATGCAAGTGAGAAGAGTGGTTGTCCAAAATCAACAGAATTTTATATTCATTTAAAGGCTTCACATGCCTAATTAAATGCTGCATAAAATTTTTAAATTCACATGCCTAATTAAATGCTGCATAAAATTTTTGAATTCACACACACACACACACACACACACACACACACACACACACACACACACACACACACACACACACACACACACACACACATAGAGAGAGAGAGAGAATGTTTTGTGTACACACTAAACATTCTCTAACTATTATATACCAATATTTATACTTTTCTATTTAGTTATAGTTTTTAGTTATTAAATAATATATATATATATATATATATATATATATATATATATATATATATATATATATATATATATATATATATATACATATATATATATATATATATATATATATATATATATATATATATATATATATATATATATATATATATATATATATATATATATATATGTAAATTATTTATATATAGTATAAATAATCAAAATAGAAATGAAATATCATATTTATATAGGTTTTGATTATATATACTTTACATTATATGTTTATATAATATAAATTATAAGTTATATGTTTTTTAAATATGCACACTATCATAATATTATCATAATAAACATAGTAAACAAGATTAATTTAAAAAAATTATTCAAGAACTTTTTTAACTCAAAGATTTTATTGACCACGTAATATTGAAGTAAAAATATTTTTTAAATATTAAAAAATCAAATAATTTTAAATTATAAATACATATATATTTAAAAAAAAAAAAAAGGTTTAAGATATTACCTTATTGTTATGAGTATTTTGTAATGATTAATTTAAAAGTGTGAATGGACCTTAAAATATTCACCAAACGAAATTTTATCTTCGTGTCTGATAGAGTCGTTTTTTTATTCGTTGTCAAATCTGCTCAACTTACCCCTACTAGACAAGGCGACACATCAGTTAGATTATAAAAAGAACTATAAGGCTTGGGGAAAAAAGGGTAAGTATAATCAATAGCCAAATAAATGGGTAAAATATAAACACTTAAGTGATTCCAGATAAATGTTTTTTTAAGCATTTAAGAAAAAAATACCAAAAAATTTTTTTTTTACTTGTTTGGTCCAAAATCGAAAAAGTGTCCGTGCATGTTACTGAACCGCGGTCCAACAACCATTTGATGCGCATTTTATTACATTAGATGTTTTGCCATGGAATAAGTAGTTTTTGAGATATTTTCGTTCCCCAACTTGCCTCTATGTTCAACTAGCCCCGCTCTATCCTACATATAAATGAAAATTAAACCCAAATAATGGAGAAGGTTTTTTTCGGTAAGCCATATTGGCAAAACTTTCCCTAAAACTTAGTGTTAACATCCGCGTATTTTTAAACAAGCAACTTTTTCTATTGGGTAAATTATTACGTAACATTTTGCAAAAATGAAATCGAAATCCTCACCTACCGCAGGGAAAAAGTTAAAGCTGCGTGTTAAAAAACAAAGAAAACAGTTTACTAATCTAACTTAACAAAATGTTATTATATAACAACAATATATTATAAAAATTGTTTAAAATGTTAGAAATGTTTTAAATAAGAAAAACCGGTTTTCAAATGCGTCAAATTTGTTTTAAAAACCGGTTTTAAATACCGCCAAACCGTAAATCATAATGATTTGCATGAACATAATGATTTTACTTTTATGAATAACTTTAGTTTAATTATAAAAAATAAAAATTTAATTACTTAAAATAACTATATTTTTATAGTAAATGTTTTTAATTTCTACTCAGTTTTTGTTAACCTTCGCATGCAATCCTTCATTTTAAACAAACCTAATCTTTCATTGGTGCCACTCAAGTCAAAGTGGGCTTAGGCAAAACAACTTTCCAGTTATCTATAAAGCAAAATAAAAGTTAACATTAATATTTTAATTAATAAATTAAAACTAAATTGTATATTAAAAGTTATAACTCTTGCTATTTAAAAAGAATATATTACTAAGTGGTGTTTTAGCTGACAAATAAAATTAAAAGTGCTGACAGAAGGTCTATTGTTTTTTTATGTTGTTTACTTTATTTTATAAAAATAGTGATTTGTAAAAACAAATATATTTAAGATAATAAAATCTACAATTTGAGTTAAGAATTATTAAATTCATGACGAAATAATATTCTCAACTATTCTCCAATTGATAACTTGAACCCATTAAGTTGATACTAATCATATGTATCAATTTAATGTGGGTCAAGGGTATCTAGCAGTTTATACTTCAGGTTTATGTCCAGTCCGCATTTACTGGAAAAATATTGTTCTGAACCTTAAAAGTTTTGTTTGTGTGTTGTACATAACAAATAATCAAGAAATGTTTTGTGCAATTGTTATATTTTTATTTATAATTGTTATATTTTTTGTTATATTGCTTTTATTTTTCTCTACTTTTTTATTTTTTTAGGGAAATGATTCCTCAAAGGATGCACTTTCAGAATTTTTAAAAAAACTAACTGAAACCCAAGGAACATTTACTTAACACATAATTTATTGACGTTATTTATGATAAATAAAAAGTTTTGTTTATATTTAATATATAAATTTGTATTCGTTTTATTTAAAGTTGTATTCGTTTCTTTACAATTCATAATATTAATACCATAAGCGATGGTGATGAGTTTAGAATAAAGTCCCCAAATAAACAATCCCTATTCAAAAAATCTCTAGTAACTTATTACAATGATTAAGCCCTAGAATATTTGATAATACTGCCATATAACTTTTTATTAGTTTTCAGTGCTTTCTAAATTAACTTCATGTATTGCAAAACGATTTTCTTTTTAATAGATTTAGATTATAATACATTTATTCAAACTTTTCAGGATCAACAAAAATAAGTTTATTAGAAAAAAAGTTGGTGCTAAAGTAACTGAATATAAGAGCAGTTAAATAAAATTCATACATAAGTTTTTAGAGTTTTATTTATTATAAAAAAGCAACTTATTTTTAATTTAAATTTGCGGACTTATGTCTTTTTTGAAATGAACACTTTTTTGTATATGAAAATCCAATGATTATCAGAATAATCTGATTTATTATTACATAAAAACAATTATTGTTAGTTAATCGTCACTTATTTCTTGGAATTCATTGTTTGCCGTAGTTATTGGGCAAGCAAAAACATTTGTATAGAAGTTTTAGTACTCTTCTATTGAATATGGAATATTTTTTTCAAATCTGATATCTTTTTTTCATTGATAGGCAATTTTTCAACATGCAGGAGTACTACTTAATGGTAAGGTTGGCCTTGTACCCATCCTTTGTAATAGCTGAAAATCATAAATGACTAAGCAATCTATGGGTTCACGTGTTGTCACTAAACCTGATGTGGTCTTAGAGAATTTGAAATGTGACACTTTAGCAATACCAAAAGTTACTATTTTGTTCTTGGGTCCTTTTCCATAGGAATCCACATATAGCACAAGTTTCTTATAATGGTTTGGCCACCATTTTTTTACATCAATAATATCTTCAGTTTTGAGCCTTTTAATTTCAAATTTTTCACTTGCATTAGCTATAAGATTTTCATACTCATTTTTTTGAATATGTCGCCAAACATTCTATCGCTAATTGTCGCCAAACGTTCTATCGCCAATTGTTGCCGAACATTTTATCGTTTGGCAAGAATGAGTGACCTCTTTTTGGTAGTTGGCTTTTTTTAATATTGTATCTAATTTATATTGCTATCTAATTTAGCTACCAGTGATAAAAGTATTCGGACCATAGCATGATTTCTGTTTTGGCCTGCTCAACCATTAGAAAAAGGTGCAGTTCTTTGGCTTCGTTGCCAATATTTTTTAAAATATAATGTAGCACAAAGGTACATACTTCGTTAGAAACTTTGTTAGCAACTCCTTCACAATATGAATGAAATACTGGTTTACCAGTACTAAAATCTTATATGCAAAATTCATACAGCCATTAGTTGACGTAGATAAAATATATCCTAGACAGGGATATGTGGAAGAGGCAAATTTCACATAAAATCAAATGCAATCCCAAACACATTTGGATCGTTATTGCACTTAGTTTTAACTTCATGAATTTTGTAAAATTTGTTTGCTTTTGTTTTGTGGATCTCAATATCTGCTTGATAGATTCTTTTTGCATTGTCATTAAGGTGTGGGTTTTTTAATTTTTAACTCTTCGCTGAGTCCATAGACATCTATTTGCTTTCTACCAAACAATAAACTAAACTTTTTTTGGAAATATTCAAGGTAGAAATTATATTTAACAGGATGATCTAGATATTTTTGTGCGTATAACGTGTGCTTAACTTTCACATTGAGTTTTTTATCCAAATAATAAGATGATGCATCTTTTCTATAGTAGTGCACATATTTAACAGGAAATGATTTGATATGCTCACGTACTTTTGTTAATGTATCTTCAGGTAATGCGTTGTATCGTGATCCCTGAGATTTACCTCAGATCATAGGCTGATCTGAGGTAAATCTATAGGCTGCATTTTTTTTTTTTTAAATTTATAAAATGCATAAACATCTAATTTGTTTCATAAATTCCATGCATACTGCAAAAAAACTTTTTTGCATACTTTTTTTATCACATCTTCAATCTTAATGTGATAAATAAAAAAAAAATCTTTTTTCTTAGATTCTTCAGATCTAAACCGTCTTTTCTCTATTTCCTTTTTTTCAATCAATGACTGCAAGTATGGGTCTTTAAATAATTTGTTAACAAACTGAACTTTACTTTCTATAACATCTTCAGATACAAGCTCCATACACTTTAAATTACATCTGTAAATAAATAGAATTATTGATGTAATAACTATATATTAAGATGTTTTACCTCCAATTATTGGGGGTAAAACATGAGTAAATAAGCAAAAATTTGAGAACGAATATAGTCATATTCTATATCATAAAACAAAAAACTAACCTGCAAGAAGTACCCGTTTGCCTTGGTGCCACGTCATTTCTTTTGTGGTTTTAAGCTTCTCCAGCAATTTTGGCTTTTTTTATTTTTCCGTGTTTATAATTTCCACTGTTTCTCATAACAGACACTCTTTTTTTAGATCTATATGCATTTTCAGAAAGCTTGTGATTTTCCATTTTTGTTACAAATAAAGTGAGTTATGTCACTACAGTTGCGCTTGGTTTCACTTGAAAAAGGCATAAGCCCGGGATTTGTGTTATTTTTAAACAGACTTTAATTTTTATTTGCATTTAAAGATAACTTCTGGCATATGAAAATGTTTCTCCTTCAAAGGGAATATAATAAAATAAATTACAGATGAGTTATACATGGTAAATATCAAGAAATAAAATATTTTAAAAATAGACGGGGACTCAAAGAAGATATGGATGATGCAATATCACCTCAATCTTTTCATAGAGCCCCTTAATATAATAAAATATTGATATTTCAAATTATAAAATATTTAAAAAGAGTTATAAAAATCCAAGATATAAAAATAACAAAATTCAAAGAAATAAATACAAACATATACAAAAAGATTTAATAATTAAAACATTAAAAGTTTATCAGTAGTAACTACATGAATAATAAAATTCATGTGAAGAAATTTACAAAATTGTTTTTGAATTATTATTCCGCAAAATTGTTTTTGAATTACTATTCCGCAAAAAAAATTCTGTATTTTATTAGTAAATACAAGAATAATAAGTAAAATTCATTTGAAGACATTTACAAAATTGTTTTGGAATTATTATTCCGCAAAAGTAAAAATGTGTTTTATAGCTTGAAACTTAAATGAGTTTAATGATTTTATCATATTTGCATTAGTTTTTTCAAAAGAATTTCCTAACTTAGTTCCTCGATATGCTATTGAATATTCTGTATATTTATATAATTTCCTTGGCAGTTTAAAGGAATTTGATCGATTTGTTCTTAAATTACTTTTAATTTAATTTTTTCTCAAACTCATTACATGGGGCTCATTACATGAGTAAAAATCAGCCCGGGCTAGGTTTCAGCCCACTTATCCGGGCTGAAATTTCCCCCCGCCTAACACTTTGTTTTCTTATAAATTTAAATTTAGTATTATATGATGAGCGGGATGAAATTCCCCCCGGGATCAATATCCTAGCTCGTTTTATAAAACCGAGGCAGGATTTTCAGCCCTGACAATTTCCATTATTAATGTAAAATTAAAGATGGCTGCACTAAAACCAGTAAGTGAAGTAAAGATAAAAGAAAGCGTAGAAGTTCGATTTCGTTGGGATAAAGACAATAAAATTTCAAATTTAATTCAGAGTTTATCAAATTTTAAATCTCAAATGGAATATAATAACAAGTATTTTAATGCTGACAAATCAAATCAGTACGAAAGTTGTAGAAAAGCTTTGGCTAACATTTACTGTCATGAGCCAAGTTGGTTTGGGCCTGTTTGTCCTTATGACAATATCTTATCCGAACAAAATAAAATTGATATAACTCTTATTAAAAGAGGTTATACTAGAGTTCAAGAAAAAATCAAAGAAATTCGTCAGAATTTTTCATTAGCTGTAACATCAGGTCGAAGGAGTGGAAGTGGAAAAATAGTACTTGAATTTTATGATCATCTAGTTCAAATATGGGGTGGATCTCCATCTATAGAACCGTTATTTTTTGGGAAATCAACGTATGATGTTAATAAGGAAATTATGGATAATAACAAAAGTGTAGAAAATTTAACATGTAGCACTGAAGACACCACAGTTGAAAATACAAATAATGTAAATCTATGTTCAAGTTCTTGCAGTATTGAGGACAATAGTGTAGTTGGTTTTTCTTTATTATTACAGAGTCCAGAAACTTCATCTGTTGATAGTGATATCTCAACTAAAAAAAAGAAACGTAAAAATGACAATAATGAAATTGTTCCAAAATTTATTGACAATAAGCGACGACACATGCAGAGACAATTGAGTGCATCACAAAGAGATCAAATTTTGTTGAATGAAGCAAAAGAAGATGCTCAATTTAAAAGAGATATCGCTGAAGCCATAAGACATTCTAATGAAACATTCTCAGCATCAATCGAGCGAATGTCAGAATCTATTTTACAGGTTGCCCAGGGACTTTCTAGATCAATGGAATTATTATTTCAGGGAATGAAAACTAATCAACAATAATTAAGGTGTATAATAAAATTAGTACATTTTATAGTAACTTTAATGATTGCAATATAATGGACTTGTTTTTATTGCTTATGAATATTTTTTTTCTTGTAAAACTTTATTTGTTTTGTTGTTAAATTTAAAATATTTTCTTACTAATAATTATAACCTGTTTGTAATAAAACACAACAATTACAATAATTTAGCAAAATACAATAATTTAACCATAAAAAAGAATTTCACATTTTCCTTAGTTTTTTTATATATAAGCTTTTTATATTTTTAGTCCCTGAATAAATTTTCTGATATATATTTTGTTATAGTTTTGCGTATATATTCACCTTCAGGATTATTAGCAGAGTAAATACTGTCAGGGAGGTTTGGGCTTTTCAATGCATCACTTCGATGTCTTTCAATTTGCTGATTAACCTCCTCTTCATTTAGGTCATAGGTTTTGTTTTTTTCACAAAA